GGAAGGAAACGGGAGACCTGGTTACCAGCTGAGGTACTCAGTGACTTTTGTGCCTCAGTCTTCACTGGCAAGAGCTCCAGCGGCACAGCCCAAGTCACAGAAGGCAAAGGCAGGGACTGGGAGAATGAAGAACCGTCCACTGTAGGAGAAGATCAGGTTCGAGACCATCTAAAGAACCTGAAGGCGCACCATTCCATGGACCTGATGGGATGCATCCACGGGTCCTGAGGAAACTGGCAGATGAAGCTGGTAAGCCACTATACATCAGATTTGAGAAGTCGTGAAAGTCAGGTGAAGCTCCTACTGACTGGAAAAGGGGAAACATAACCCTCATTTTTTAAAAGGGGTAAAAAGGAAGACCTAGGGAACTACAGGCCAGTCAATCTCATCTCTGTACCCAGCAAGATCATAGAGCAGATCCTCTTGGAAGCTATGTTAAGGCACGTGACAAAAAAGGAGGTGATTGGTGACAGTCAACATGGCTTCACTAAGGGCAAATCCTGCCTGACAAATTTGATGGCCTTCTATGACAGGGTTACAGCGTTGGCAGATAAGAGAAGAGCAACTGACATCATCTGCCTGGACTTGTGCAAAGCATTTGACGCTGTCCCGCACAACATCCTTGTCTCCAAACTGAAGAGACATGGATTTGATGGATGGATCACTCACTGGATAAGGAATTGGCTGGATGGTCGCACTTCAAAGGTTGTGATCAACACCTCAAAGTCCAAGTGGAGACCAGTGATGAGTGGTGTTCCTCAGGGGCCACTATTGGGGTCAGTGCTGCTTAACATCTTTGTCACCAACATCGGCAATGGGACTGAGTCCACCCTCAGCAAGTTTGCTGATGACACCAAACTGCGTGGCGTGGTCAACACGCTGGAGGGAAGGGATGCCATCCAGAGGGACCTTGACAAGCTTGAGAGGTGGGCCTGTGCGAATCTCATGAAGTTCAACAAGGCCAAGTGCAAGGTCCTGCACATGGGTTGCGGCAATCTCAAGCACAAGTATAGGCTGGGTAAAGAATGGATTGAGAGCAGCCCGGAGGAGAAAGACTTAGGGTGCTGGTTGATGAGAAACTCAACATGAGCTGGCAATGTGCATTGGCAGCCCAAAAAGACAATTGTATGATAGGCCACATCCAAAGAAGCATGGCCAGTAGGTCGAGGGAGGTGATTCTGCCCCTCTACCCTGCTCTCATAAGACCCCACTTGGAATATTTCGTCCAACTCTGGGGCCCCCAACATAAGCAGGTCATGTTGGAGCAAGTCCAGAGGAGGTCCATGAAGATGATCTGAGGGCTGGAGCACCTCTCCTATGAAGATGGGCTGGGAGAGTTGGGGTTGTTCAGCCTGGAGAAGAGGAGGCTCCAGCAAGACCTTCTAGCAGCCTTCTAGCACCTAAAGGCAGCCTACAAGAAAGCTGGAGAGGGACTTTTTACAAGGGCATGTAGTGGTAGGACAAGAGGCAACCGTTTTAAACTAAGAGACGTTAAATTCAGACTACATCTAAGGAAGAAATTCTTTATTCAGTGGGCAGTGAGGCACTAGAACAGGTTGCCCAGAGAAGCTGTGGATGTCCCATCCTTGGAAGCATTCAAGGCTGGCTGGCTGGGGCTCTGATCAATCTGAGCTAGTGGAAGGTATCCCGGACCATGGCAGGGGGGTTGGAACTAGACAATCCTTAAGGTCCTTTCAACCTAAATCATTCTATGATTCTCTAAGTTTCAGACCAACGACAATTACCAAGACTATATGAATTGCTGTCTTTCCTCCCCATGAGGTCTCTGGGCTGTCTTGGAAAAGGAAACGATTTTAAGACTGCAGTAAATGTCTTTTTTCTTACCTCCCTGCTTTGCTTTGTTTTCTGTAGCTTTTAAATAGAGGTTCAATCCATGTTTGCTATTGCCTGCATCTGACAGGATCTAACTCATGCCCACTACAGAAGTAAAAACAGGTAGAAAACCCTGCACGTGTATGGAAATTCCATCATTAATAAAAGCTAAGGTAGAATTTGAACTAGACACTTATTAACTGGCTGAAATTGAAACAGAATAATAGGAACGCTTTCACCACTTGCTATCTTCCTTTTCAAGACGTCCATGTTCTGAAAATTCTTGTAACTCTGCTGTATACAAGACATCGAAGTCTGCTGTGATGTCTCTTATTGACAGCAATCAAGTGTATTGAAGAGCTCACAAGCTCTGTCATGGAGCAACTCTTACATTTCTTTAAAACAGAATGAAAAACTACCCAGAATTTGCAACCAACAAAAGGAGAAAAAGGAACTCATCCTAAGGGTATTCTGAGGTAACCAAAACATTTTTAAAAGGGTCATGCTGTAGACACCTGGATGTGTAAGTAAACTGAGTTTGATTTAGCAATGGAAAGTAAAACTCACAGTAAAAGACAACTACGTAAAGAAACAGGAAGATAAGAAACAGAATGAGGCTGTAGTGAGGATCTAGCTGAAGTACATAGGTATGACAGAAAACCAAAATGAACGCTTTGCCTCGTTTTTTTGGGGTGATGAGCTGGGGGGATCGGGAGTGCAGACCATGTACAACATGGTGCAGAGAATGGCTGTTCAACACTAATAAAGGCATAATCTGCAAAAGAAACACTCAAAAAGATTAACACCATAAACTCTGAGGGAACCTACAGTCTCCATGCCAGAATTCTGAAACATCACATGGAATACACAATCAGCAGAGACGATTTTTAAGACATCCAACATAAAGATGCACTGTATCAGATAAGAACTACGATCTCAATATACATTTCCCACCTCTCATAAAATTAGGGAACGCAGGTTCCTCAATCACTGCTTCCATGAATGTTAAGAGCAGTAAAACCATTTTGAATACAGTATATGAACACTTTGCTCTCTTCTTTTTCTCTGGAAAACTAGCAGTTCCCTTGTTTCTCATCCAACAAAAGGAAAGAATTCCATGAATCTTTGACTCGGTGAATTCTTTTCCACTGTTCTTGGTGTATTTCTCTTAGGATGACTTTATTACTGCTTCAGCTACCAGTAGTTATTATTCATTTGAAGTCATTACCACTTTCCACTGTGTTTAATATCCTAATTGGATGTTATTAGCTGTTACTTCTACAGCTGTCTCATATTCTTCAACAAACTACAATTTCATACAGAAGCTCCTTTTTTAAAGAAGCTCTAGCATCAGTCTTAACATTATGCAACATTTAATACTCATTGTCTCAATAACTGTCAACCTGTTTCCTTTGACTTTTCTCTATTATTTCATATGGCAGAATTCTTGTCTTTAATTCTACTATCTACCCTAATCTATTTCCACAACAGCTATATTCTGATTAAAACACTAGATAATGCCCGAATGTTACTGTGCAAAATCAAGCTCTCAACGCCTGTACAATTTAACAAAAGAACAGATGCTTCAACAGTCTAAAAAGGATTAAGGAACGTGGACACTAATAACACATGCTGCTATATGCCCTGGATCAAACATCTGATGATTTTAAATCAACAGTTACCACTGGATGAATTAATCCTTGTGAGTGAAACAATGAAAAGCATCTTAAGGGAAGAATCCTGCAGTTCTAGAGGCACTTCTATCACAGCTCATCAGTGCAGCACACCTTCCACTACTTAGTTGCTCTCAAGTGTTATTCACATTATACCTGCAGGACTGGAATGAATGTTTTATGTACCTGTGGTTAAGCCTGGACGTTGAAAAGCGTATCTGATAATTTGCATTAACAATAGTATTTGGCAGCAATTTACAGTTAGGAACTCTATTTTTAAAAACATTTTCTCTGTGTAATTACATGCTTTAAATGCTCCCTCAGAAACTGATCTGGAGAGTTTGTCTTTACTTTCATGTTGAGAAATTGCCCCCCGTGAATCAGTGTCCTTGTTCATTTACACTTCTCAATAATATTTTAATCAACGATTTCTTTCTCTGATTCAGTCTTGCAATCCCCTGTAATCGGCAACGCATTGCTCTTTGGCACTGTATCAGTAAGCTCCTAAAAGCTGGCCACAGAACACTTATTCCCTCACCTTGGCTGCTGTGGTAACAGTATACATCTGAATAACCATCAGATTTACTAAAGCTTCTTACAGGCAGACTGAAATGCAACTGGCATTGTCTGGAATGTATCTAATTAGGAATGCAAATACATGCTTACTCAAAAAATGAATGCCAGGGTTTCCTCAGCACTCTCTCTGTGCTGGCAGACAGTGTCTCTAAGGGATGTTGGAGGAGCTGACTATCATTTCACCAAACCTCAAAAAAAACCTCTCCTTATAGTGTATGAACAATGGTATTTTGAAAAACGTATCTACATTTTTATTGATGTTTAACTTTGCTTAAAAACAAAATTGATAAACATACAGATACTTCAGCTCAGTTATTATTTTCTATGGGAATTGTCAACTGAAAATATTTGGGGGAAATTCCACATCTGACAAAATTCTGTTTCAAATTTAAAAAATAAGCTGTTCTGAAGCATTTTCTTGAACTCCAGGAAAAACACTACGGTAAGTACATGGACTGTGATTGTTAAGACTGACAGAAATTAGGCTGTTAAGTCTTCCGGTGTGAAGCTGACAAAACTTCAGTAAGATATTATCAGGATCATCTGAATATACACTCCACTCCTACATTCCACTCAATAAGGTTAAGGTTGAAAAGCTACAAGCAGATTTGGGTTTGTAGCCACAAGCTGACAATTAATGAAGTGAATTAAGATGTTATCAATCAAATGTAAATAAATATTTTTAAAGAACAAAACACAGTTTTATGCAACATCCTGATCTGGTACTCAACGCAATTCTGGCCTTTTTGCGTTTTAATCGTATGTGCTTCGTTGTAATCCGAACTTCCCAGAGCAGTTCAATCTGGATATGAGTTTAGGGGCATTGTTCACATACACAGTTCTAAATTCTCCTGAAAACACTCTGATGCCATGAACTGTCTTAGAAATGAATATTAAATGTACAAATAAAAAACTTACCCGAATCATCATGACTGAGCATCTGATGTTATGAATTGTATCATACACCTTCTTAGAAACGTCCACAAATTGGTTATCGTCAAACAGATGCACTGTGTTCTTGCTTAAGCTCTCCAATGCAATATTTACTTGACTGATAAACTCTGGAATCACTATTTAAAAAAGAAAACACAAACAAAATTCAGCGAACATAAAAAGGATGAAACGTGATTTTTCTTTCTTGCAAATTGCCTCACATTGATTAAAACTTTATTTTTAAAAAGCATTAGAGTCATAATACGATTAGTTTTAAGTGGGAACACATTTGTAATTTTTATCGCAGTGATAAAAATGCACTTGGTGCACACGTAAGCTGTGGATGGCTATACAGTACAACGAAGAAGAAGGAATTTTTAAAAGCCTGGTCAGGGAAGCAGCTGTAAAAAACTTGCCAGTGATTTCAACAGTAATTTTACCCAAAGAATCAGAATGAATAACCTGGCTCAAAGTTGGAACTACTATTCAATAGACTCCTATTTCAGAATCTGCTTTCAGTCTGAATGGAGACAAAACTACCAAAAGATAGATGCTTATTCTCCGTATATATTGAAGAATATTCTGCTTATTTGTGGGACTAAAAAGTCCCACAATTGTAACCTGGACTTACCACAGCATTTTACCTTGTTTGATTGAATCAAACAAATTGTAAATTTGGAGTCAGTTTGATATTAACTCATTTGCAATAACTCACTTCTTTTCACTTGGAGACTGAAGACACAGAAGAAATGGAAAGTAAAGAGACAGAACTCAACTTCTGTAATAGTCAATATGAATAACATATATCTTGTGGAACAGAGGCTTTTTTCAGGCAATGTGTTGGTTTCAAATATAAGTATTGTATGCTTCCCAGCCCTTCTTCCACAATTACACGCTGTGTAATTCATAAATTCATACCACATGAAAGCAACACTACCAATACCTTAAGTATGAATCATTTCAGGAAAATTTTGAAGTACATAATAAATTTTTAAGCAGTCAAAGCTTCAGCTTAAGTCAAAAGGACTTCTGAATTAGAAAACCTGGCAACATATACTTTAAATATTAGGAAAGATGCCACAATAATGCTTTTACTCTTAACTTTACATGAAGATACCCTCATAACCCTTGGAGACATTTAAATTACAGTAATATCACTGTCTTCGAGCTCGGCTGTTTCTCTCTAGAGTGCAGACAGTTACTTCATATGTCAGTTCTCAGAAGTAACAAACTACAGTGGCAGTGGGAAGGTTCATTTTCTTTTGTAAAATAGGTCTCCACAAGCATGAGACAAGCAGATGTTTAATTTGAAAACCAGAATATTTCAAATCCTTTTTTCCCCTCCTTGGACTACCACATGAATTACCCTGCCTTCTGAAAAGGTCTGTGGGAAGAACAGACTTCTTAAATGGTATGGAAGAAAGACATGGTACATTTTTCATTAGCAATCAAATGGAATAATTAGAGAGAGTGAGTGCCTATTTATTTAGTGGGGTTTTTAAATTATTTTTTTAAAGAAACACAAATATACAATTTCAGAATATGAGATTTTTTTCCTGTTTAACAAAGATCTTGGCCTCTACACTATCAAAATAATTGCAAGTGTAGCAATTTTGAACTATACATTCATCTCATCTGTTTACACAGAATTAAACTTTCAGGTCTTCACATTAGTCGTAAAAATACTGCAAAGGAGAATATAAGAAGCTTCCAGGAATTTAAGATTTCCATTGGTACATTCAAAGCCATCAAGCGTTTTCCAGAGCTTCCTACATCCTCTCTTCTCCCTTCATTGTACTTCATATACTTTCACTTGCAGTATTGTGAAGCACAGACTCCCTGCTTACCAGCAGCATTTTCAGTGGCTGTTAAGTGCCTGCAGGCTGCTTCTTTTACAGGACAGGCTCTTTCTTCTCAGTTACCTATTCAGACTCCATCCTGCACTCCATTCTTATTCCATATGCTTGTTAATGGCCTCTTAACAGCTTCTTCTGAGACCAAACTCATCAGTGCATCACAGTATTTGTTTGTCTGAATGAATACATCACTTACGAAAAAGGATTTTATACAAATATGTACTCTATAGCTCGTAGGCTACTGGTGGAGTCAGTGCTAAACCACAGGTTGCACTTGATTACAGAAATATGATTTCAGTGGCTTCCCTTTGATAATGTTGTTAAGCTGTTACTTTTCATCAATACCATTTTTACATACAATTAAAACACAAGACTAAATTGTAATTCTGAAATATGTACATAACAATCTGCAAATGAAGCATAAACACACACTTGGGCTATTATAAGGTTATCAGTTCTTATTATTTGGCCATTTACACTGTATCTAGCTGGATAATTCCCTCAAATCTAAGACACCTTTCTTCACTGCATGCAATTTGTTTATTTTTTGAGTTCCCAACCAAATGACTACTTAAAAACAGGTTTTGGTGGATATATCAGTTCTTATCCATAGATCTCTGGCATCAAAAATACTTTACTTCATATATCCTCAAATGGTGTAGGCATTGCTCTGGAGCACTGAATTAAGTGGACTAAAATTACATTAATAATGGGCATCTTTGCTGTATTCTGCTTCATTTTTCTAGGCAACCTAAATATAGAGAAGGGGATGCAGGTAAAAATAGGCTGGACAAGATGAATTTTTTTTCCATCTTTCCAAAAGCAAAGAAAAATTAAACAAGTTTTAACTAAAATGAAAAATTTCAAGTGTTATACTCACCTAAAGAATGCCTTAACAAAATTAATAACAGACATAGACAAACATGACCTCCTAGAACTGATCAAAAAGAAATGACTTATTTTTATTTTATTTTCAATTCAAAATGTTTACGTTTTTTGGGGGGGG